TTTGCCAAACGTTCTTTTACCTGAAGAGCCTGTGATGATGACAAATGGACTATGCTCTTCTTATAGAGGTTAGTCAAATGTTCTGGAAGTGTATGTCTTTTCTTTACAGTTGTATTTCTTGCTTTAACATTGACTGGCTCTACCTCCTGGCACACACCCAACAATGCCCCTTCCTTAAGTGTCTGTTTACATTTAGAGACATTGGCCACTGTTATTGGTACTACTTGATTACCTGCCACAAGTGACCTTCCAATCTTCAAATCCGCTGGCCTGCGTGGGTCTTCCACTGCTTCCAAAAGCATTGGGCTTCCATGGAGATGTTCTTTTATCCGACCCCAAATTATCTTTCTGACATAGGGGGTATTGTAGTTGATTCAAGTGCTGTGACATGCAGATCAACGGATGTAGCAACATTTACTGGAATCTGGTCTTTGTTGTTTCCAATCGTCATTTTATCGAAGTTAACTACACACTTCCTCGGTAGTAAATAGTCCAATCCTAATATGCATTCGTCTTCAATGTCAGTGAAGTATACTTTGTGTCTGTCCTTTATGCCCATGAGCTCAATAGTTACCCACACTGGTTCCCACAACCTTGCAGAATGTCCTGTCACACCACAAAGCTTCTGTATGGCTTCTGGTACTCCTTCGTGATCTAGCACCTTGATGCTCACAAGGATTTGCTCAGACGCAGAATCCAGCTTTCCTGTCACATAGACACTATGTGTGCTTGCCATTTTACACCTAGCTGTTGGAGATTTCCCTATGGGGGTTGGTGGTCATCTCTCAGCACCAACCACTTCTGGTTTCCCGAAGCTGACTTATTGGTGGTATTCTTCTTACACTGGCTCCTCATATGTCCTTGCTCTCCACAGTTCCAACAACCTTTTTGGGTAGCAGTCTTTCCTGTCATGGCATCTTCCCTGTGTTGAAGTTTCCAGCATTGAGCTCTCTTGTGCCCAAGTTTATTACAGTGCCAGCAAATCCCTCAAACCTCTCTGAAAGCTGACCTTTTCTGACCTTGAATCCAGATGACTGTACCAACCTTGGTACCTCTGTGCTGGATTTCACGTAGGATTCAAATTCAAGAGCTTTGGCCATTGCATCCTGCATGGTAGAGGGGTGTGCTTGCTTCACTTGTATCTTAAGTTGTGGACTGTCCAAGGCATCTACGAACTGATCCCTCAGCAACAACTTGAGGAGATCGGGTGGTGCAGTTGGGTAGGCCTTGTGTGCCATGCTTTCCAAGTCCTGTGCCAGCTCTTGCAGGCTCTCCCTTTTAGCACAGACTCTCATCCTAAACCTAGCCCTGTAGACTTCTGACTGATTTTGGGTTCTGTACCTGAGTTCTAGAGCCGCTACCAGTGCTCTATAGTTGTGTCTGTCATCTGCTGACAACTGTCCAAGTATTTCCAGTGGTTGTCCCTTCAAGCTCGTTGCCAGATATACTGCTTTATCCTCCTCTGTCCACACATTCATTTCTGCCAGTAGCTCAAATTGTGCTCTATATGCTTCCCACGGTGCTTTCCCATCGTATTCCTGTGGCTTCCTTCGTACTGGATCACTCCTATTACTGACATTCATACCTGGGATGTGACTTCTAACAGGACCTGCATTAGGGTTTAGCTGCAGGGTCTGGAAGGAACTTGTCATTGTCTGGAGCTGGTTAAGTCGATGGTTAATGTATCCTTGTTGTGTAAAAGACAATAAG